TCCAAGGCGCGATAATCGCGGAAATAACCTCAAGAAATGTAATTATTGCAATCATCAATTACCACCAAACTAACATGCACCAGGAGATCAGTGACGAGAACCCAACGTGGTTTACTATTAGGCATGAATTCGTCATTATTTATTGGTTCGTTCTGCTCTTTTTCCAAATGAAATACCTCTCCGGATTTTTCTGTGCTTCAGGTGAAGAGCTCTATCAGTTTCTCTTGGAAATCATGTACTAACCATGGCACAGGCAACCCGAGAGCGAGGTGTCAAAAGGCTGCCCATCTGGGAATATTCTTCACCTTGTTTGTCACCCTCAGTTTTTTACGGAGCCCTCCAGATTAATGCGGTGTGAAGGCACAATATCCTTTTATTGATTTGGGCTTTCCTGTCGATTCACTCTCTCTTTAAGTGGGGCGAATTAACCTTATTTCTCAATTTTATCCAGCTTTGCGTTGGGTGTGGGGTGGATCATGAGGGGGTGATCGGGGGGCGGTATCGGCATGAACCGGAAGATGCACCAGACCAAGAGAACCAGGGGAACCAGGAGGATAGAGATTGGCTAGTCGATACGGACGACTTTAGATATATTGATAGGCTTGCTGTCCTTTCCCTTCCACTTATCCTCACAGTTTACATGCTCCCTTGGAACATTGCTCTCGATGTACGAGAAGACCCTTTCAGGAATGTGTTTGGAGTTCTCTAACCCAAGTGTCAATAGTTCACCTGCCGAGAGAGAGTCTGTGAGATCGCCGTAGCTAATACTCTCTTTCTTCTCGTATATGTCTTGGTATACATGAGAGGTTTTCGGGATTGCTCCCTTGGACTTGCTTCAGCCTTTTTTGACATTGGACTGCTGGTTCAACAGTGGGATAATTCGAACAGGTGGTGGTTCTGGACTATCGTGGGAAATACAGCAATGACAGCGATACTCTCAATCTGCTCTGCAGTGTCTCAGTACGGTCATGGCTCTGGAAAACTCGGCCGCTTGATACGAGCAGTGCTAGACAGAGGCTCATAAGATGGTGGGGGAGCGAGGGGGTGTTTTGTGTGGGAGACTTGGTAATCAGAGCGATCGGGGGTTTTATTGTCGACTAGACTATTCATGGATGGTTTAATGGAGTGTGATATTCCGTTCTTGCTCCTATGGAAATAAATTTATTTCGGCTTCGTCGCCAATACTGGACTTAGATGATGAGGCTGCTTGTATTCCTATAGTATCCCTGTGATTTCCCCCTAGATGCTATGTTTCGTAGGGCTATCCGGTCCTGTCCTGTCCTGTACTGTACTGTACGAAAAGACGTAGTATTCGCTAGCTGTATCCTGAAAACCCTGGTAACGCTCAAGCCGAGTGAGAAACGTGAAATCCATTGTTAGGGCATGTTTTTGAACTATATAGCTATGACGATGGCAAGCAAAAAAAAAAAAAGAAACATATATTTGAAGCCTTGCTGTCCACACCTATTTTGGTGGGCAATGATCAAACCACACAGCAAGGAATTATTTTAAGCCCCCTGGGTCGAGCATTTCCACTATCATACACCTGTGTATTGTAAGAGGGGCTGCAACACCCTTACCACAAGTCTCTCCGGTGGACTTCCCAGTGCAGTTTATTATGGTACCCCTCCGGTGCTATAGTAGAAGTGGTGCCCGGGAATGGACATGGGCGACCGGACAGCCGGGGATTCTGGAGACCTGACAGTTCTATCATACCCTCACGGGAAATGGAAGGATGGGTTTGGTATGGGGGGGGGGGAGATTGCTCTATCAAGCAAGAAGCTTTGACACCTCTAATTCCTTGCTGTCCGGTCATTCACGTCCTCCATAAGTTATCCGCGTAACAGCGAACCCCACCGCGCAAAAAAACAATGGTTTTCCAAAAATTCTCGGTCAAAGTACAGAATTGTATGTATGGAGAAATACAAGAACGTTTGGTACTTTTGGAATCGCTCATGGAGAAAGATTTTATTTGGACGCGGAGAAACTCTACAAAAACGACAGTACTGTACAGTGTGATACTTGAGTGCTGCAGACTGCTCTGCTATTTGTATTCGTACTAGGTTCTTATCACTTCCTGCATTGCTATGTACAAAGTACAGTACGGTGCTGTTGTGTAACGGTAATGCTTCGGGAAAGCGTAGAGGGATATAAATCGCATAAGAGTGGTCCCGAGGGCACTCTACTGTACAGTACAGCTTCTCAGGAGCTTGTATAGCCTCGGCTGAAGCTGAAACTCGCGGTGGTGCAGCGGCCGGGTAGAGTATTGTGGGTTGTCCGAGGAGTGTTGGGATACCGGTATCGTAGA